ATTCTATATCATAAAAATTGAAAGGAAAAGTAACACTGTGAGAATGAAAGCTGAGGAATGCAGAAGGCAACAATTTCGCCATCTAGTGGGAAATATGTACATTACTCCTTCCAGGATGTGCTTTTTTTCTTTGTGTTTTTCTAGTTGGTCAAGTTCAGCAGGGCGGCGTTGGGTAGGGCTTAGATCGCTACACACTGATCATCGACCCATTGCATGCCTTTCGAGTGCATTTTCCGCATAGTCGAGTAGACCAGTTATTTCTAGTCGATTAAATAACAGCGCCTGAGGTGGATGACAACTCAAGTGGCTTTGCTAGTTCGGATCCAGCTCACTGTCCTTCCCCAAAATTCCCATAGAGGTCAGTGTAAAAAAGTTTTTGCTAGGGGAGTGGGAAGGAAAATTATTTATATAGAAAACTGAAAGTTACATAGAGAAATTCTTGAGGCAGGAAGTTAAAATATCAAGTAAATTTATGCAAAAGGTTATTCCAAGTAGCATTTAGTAATATTAAAATAATTGTGTCATTTGTTTGGATTAACATAAAAAACAACTCCGTTCCTAATTTGTCTACAAAAGTTGAAAATAAAATGATAAATTCCAGAGCTTCTTTGTTTTGTTTGCTTGTTTATAGTTAAGCACAAAGTTACACAATGGGCTATCTGTGTTGTACCCACCACGAGTATCGAAATCCAATTTTTAGCATTGTAAGTCCGCATTCCAAAGCTCGTCGAAATAACCTTCCAATTTCCATAACAGGCAATTTTTTACAAAGGTCGATAACAAAAAATAACTGTTAAAACTTTGATATTGTATGTCTCAGACAAACAAATATAATAGTTTGATGATATCACGATACTTTACTATATTAATTAATGTTTATTTTTCAAATTAGGAGTCAGTATTAGTTGTATTACGCTGGAGATGATTTTTATCACAAATGTTAGGCCTAAGAGTTTCCTAGGCCTGTTTCGATTGCTAAAGGAGGCGCGACACATCACAAAACAGGCGATATCCATTCCTTGGTGGCGCTAGCTTTACCGTGGATGAAAATGCTGTGATACTTTGGAAAAAAAGGGATTTTTTTATAATTGATACGAATAACTTTTCAGACAAAGGTTATTTACATAGTTATGTTATTTTTAACAATTTTACTTAATATTTTAAATTCAATGAAAATAATTAATACCTCATGAATTACCGTGATTAACTGCAATATTTATATTATACATATTTTTTTTACATTTTGTTTTTGTGTTACTCGGTTTTTATTTAGAATCTGCAACTAAGTAAGTCATGGACAAACAAACAATCTAGATCATAAATAATTCAGAAAAATGTGTTGAAACAGCGGATGGAGTCGACCTCATTGTTAATTTTAGGATTAAAATACTAACTCTTCTTCCTACTGCTAAGACATATTAACCTGGTTGTGGTGTAATGGTTGACGTGCCCATATTGTGAATCAGGAAATCCATGTTTCGCGACTCTTTACTGAAAAACACATACCGCGGTTTGAGGCGTGGTTGTGCCATAAAAAAAGACTTTAAAATCCCATTATTCTATCAGGCTAGAATAGCCCAACAGTTGGCAGTAGGTACTGTTAACTAAGTGCCTTTCCTCTAATGTATCCGTTTAAAATTAGGGATTGCTGTGTAGGGTTAACCCTTGTATAGCATAGCATGAAATTCTGAAACTGACGGAACCGTCATATTTTTCTAATTTTGATCAAAAACTGTGGTCAGAAATATATACATAACAATATTTTTTTCTTGTTAAGCATAAAGCATTATAACGGGCTACCTGTGAGATGCCCAGCGCAGAATAGAACCCCGAATTTTAGTGTTATAACCATAAACACTTAAGCTTACCACTGAGCTACCGGGGAGGGGCATATAATAATACGATGACTGAGATTTCTAAGTGAGAACTCAGGAATATTCTTCTTCCTGTACGTTGGCTAATTGAAAAGTGTTGTCTTGTTAAAGCATTGTATACTAATGACATGGGGGAACATTTATTGATCTTGGGGCGAGGGTTGGCCCTGTGTTACACCTCTGGATTTCGGAGCTGGAAAGCCAGGTTTCGAATCCGTACGATACTATTATACATTCCTCTTTAATCTGTGGGTGCGTTATAAGAGTGTCATCCATTTCCTTAGTGTAAATGGTGGGTAGTAGTGGATGCTGACTGGCTGCCTTCCCTCGGGTCAACAGTTCAAAATTAAAGATGGCGACAGATAGCTTTGTCATAAATACAAATGTATCATTCTTCCCCAACACATTTCACATTGAAAGTTTTTTATTAACAGTATAAAATTAGTTTGCAGCTAAAGGTTAATTTTAGGCTTACTGGATTTGTTTAGTACTTCAAATCCAATGCGTTTGATGCTATATTTTAAGTTACCTTTCTTTCGCTATCGAAATTGAATAGAAACCGTTATTGCACACATATATTTTAATTCTTCAATTATCACTTTTCAAGCATCTACTTTATTGTCAAAATGCTTATGTATACCACAATTTATATAAAATAAACTGGTATTCGAAGATAATTTAATGTTTTTATAAATGTTAAATAAGTCATTTGAAATGTTTTATATACAGTCCATAGATGGCGCTCACCACAATAACTATCATCATAATATATTTTATGGTAATTAGTTGAGTTTGATTTTGCTTATTTTGTAATCAAATATGTATTCATCTACAATTGAGAGTATACTGTAAAAAACTAGGTTTAATATTTCAGAAAAAAGGAAAACAGTAAGATAAAATAGTTAATAAGTGACTGAAACCAACGTCAGGACAAAGGGCAGAGGTTAATGTACAAAATGTTTTCGACGCACTTTTCAGTTACCAATGGTCCTTCTCAAGTTATGCCAGAACAAAGGATAAGTTGTAGTTTTTTCAATTAATTTTTAAAATAAAACAAATACTGAATATGCATTTTCATGGAGGAACCACGGAATAATTTTATTTTCTATTATATGACAGAAATCGGTGGTAGGATTTTCAATAAACTTCACTTATAATTATACGTTTAAACGTGACTACAAGTTATGTACTTATTTTTCACTAAGTACATACTCTGTCATCCAATTATTGGCTTAAGTGAAAGCTACATTCTCGAACTTTTTCGTTTTCTGTGATCACAAATTTATTTTTTTACTTTTCTTTCCAAGTAGTTGCTAAACTAATCTGATGATGAGGTACTCAGGACGATATTTGAATTTTTCTATTATAGTGCCCCCTAGTGGCAACTAATAAACTTTGTTTTGATTTTTTCACTATTAATATCTCCAAAAGAAATTTAATAAACAACGTTTTGCCATTATTTTCCATTATTCTCAACTGTCATCATTAACTTAATACAAATTGGTAAAGAATATATGTAACTTGCTATGATAATATTTAATTAATAATGTTATATTTATCTACTTTGCTGTTACGGTTCAATACACAGTAAAACATTTAGGAATGCTTGTAAAATAGTAGTCATTGTGAAAATATGACAATAAGATAGATAGGCAAAAATTATATTTGTAGTATATTTTCTCAGCAAGTTTTTTCCACTCTGCACAGTTCCAAAAGCACTTATATGACAGGTAAGTAAAATCCCGTCTTCCTTGGCTGACGCCCTCTGGTTTACCTTTACAACGTATCATGATCCTTAACATTTTAGGTAATGAGAATCGTATTTCAAGAAGCTTATCTAAGAAGTATTTTCTATTCCAAGTGTCCAGTTGAGTTTTGCTTAAAAAAAGAAGCATGGGCATTTCTTTATAGAAATTTTGTTTAAGCACTTTTAACTAATTATAAAATGAAATAACCATGTAAGCAAACACATAGAGATGACCGAATATTAAGTCAATTTTCGTGTTAGTCTGCTACACCTCAATGATTCATAAGCTCTTTTAAAATGAACTGGAATTCACACATGTATCTCTCAGTTGGAAATGATAAGTGTGAAAAGAGATAAACAGTTTAAAATCATATACTGCCCCCTTCTTTAGCATGTAATACATCATTTAAAATAATATAAAAGTGACGATGTTTAGAGCTGTACAAAGTAAAAGTATTACACTTTGAATGTATTCAGAGACATTTTTTTCCTTTCTCTCATTTGGTTATTTGAGTTTATTATGGCGTTTTCTTAAGACTAGAGTTATCACTGTTCAAATTACTAAGAGTCAACGGTATAGGAGGGGAGAGAGCTTACTAGAGCTGAAGTTATCCTAAAAATATGCCTAACCTCTACTGTAGCCTTTTCCTCTACCACACCCACCGAAAAAACTATGCTTACTATTAAAAAATAGTTTACTTCCTAAATACCACAATATGTGTAATTATTAAAATAGTTTACTTCCTAAATACCACAGTGTGTGTAATTATTAAAATAGTTTACTTCCTAAATACCACAGTGTGTAATTATTAAAATAGTTTACTTCCTAAATACCACAGTGTGTGTAATTATTAAAATAGTTTACTTCCTAAATACCACAGTGTGTGTAATTATTAAAATAGTTTACTTCCTAAATACCACAGTATGTGTAATTATTAAAACTAGTTTACTTCCTAAATACCACAGTATGTGTAATTATTAAAATAGTTTACTTCCTAAATACCACAGTATGTGTAATTATTAAAATAGTTTACTTCCTAAATACCACAGTATGTGTAATTATTAAAATAGTTTACTTCCTAAATACCACAGTATGCGTAACTATTAAAACTAGTTTACTTCCTAAATACCACAGTATGTGTAACTATTAAAACTAGTTTACTTCCTAAATACCACAGTATGTGCACCCGCAAGATGAAGAGTGGATCACCCTCAAATTTTTATCGAGCCCATCTCAGCCTCCAGGTGTCGCCCCTGAGATTATCCATCCAACTTATTATTACTTTTTAATACACTCAATGAGATCATTTCAATGCGGAGATCTCAATTTCATTGCGTTGTAAAAATAAATTCTAAAAGCAAAAGAAAAGAAGTCCTACCTTACACCTTAAGTAAATGTTTATCTTTCTCCCAGTTATTGGCTTCCTTCTGAAAATGAGAAGGAAACAATAGAAATACTGAAACACGTGAATCAATCTGAAAATGCATAAAGATACAAATATGGTGTTTTCGGTTAATATTAACTAACTATTGTAACAACACATTTTTTAATTATTGTTTAATATTAACCAACTATTGTAACAGTATCATTTTTAATTCTTGTTTAATGTTAATCAACTATTGTAACAACACATTTTTTTCATTCTTGGTTAATATTAATCAACTATTGTAACAGTACCATTTTTTTCATTCTTGGTTAATATTAATCAACTATTGTAACAGTACCATTTTTTCCATTCTTGGTTAATATTAATCAACTATTGTAACAGTACCATTTTTCATTCCTGTTTAGTATTAACCACCTCGTGTAACATCACATTTTTTTCATTCATGGTTAATAATAAACCAACTATTGTAACAGTACTTTCAAATTCTTGTTCAGTATTAACCACCTCGTGTAACATAACATTTTTTCATTCAGGGTTAATAATAAACCAACTATTGTAACAGTACTTTTCAAATTCTTGTTTAGTATTAACCACCTATTTGTAATAGTACCTTTTTAATTCGTGGTTGGTGTTATCTAACTGTTGTATTAGTAAGACCATCCGATTAAAGGAATGCAAACCAAGAATGGAATACAGCTTGATTTTCTTGTTAATCTACCTTTAAATTTCGTTTACGTGAGGTCAAATAATTACAGAATAATCAAAGCCACATTTTCAAAATCGGTAAACATTATCTCATAGATTAGTAGTCGCAGTAATGTACAAGTCTAGAAGATAGGTGGGAACGTGCTGGTAGTTTTGTGTACTCATTGTCTACTGGAGCCTTGCCCCCTAGGGCTCATAATTCGGTCAAATTCTCAAGATGCCAGACCTTCGCTGACCTCTTGCTTCAGTTGGCACGTCCTGATCCGATTCCCAGGCTTCCCGATTCTCCGGTTAACCAACAGCATGACCTCCCCCCACCCCCACCTCACAAAACAACAACAACAAACTAAATAATATTTATGAGGGTGTCATTAATCTAAAAACTCTATTGTTCAAAACGTAAACTTTACATCTTCGTTCTCTTACGCAGGCGACGCATAAAAATTATATAATGTTAATGATATCGAATACTATGAATCCCCCTAATATATTTAATGGTGATATCGAATCAAATGAATCATCATAATACTGTATTTATTAATAATATTGAATCCCACAAATCTTCCCTAATATAATCTACTTATCAATAATATTGTATCACACGAATCCCCAATATTATATATATCTGTTAATAATATCGAATCACATGAATCCCCTTAGTAGTATACATTCATTAATGATATCGAATTCCATAAATGCCCCAATATTATTATGTACATTTGTAAAATTCACACTGATCTAGAAACCTGGAACAAATAATAAAATTTATACTAAAACTGTGTTAGAAGCAAACTGTCGGAAAAATTAAAACGAATCAAATTTTGTCATTTGTGGTTTCACCTGATCGAGCTACTAGATGTACGGGACGTTTATCATTACTGTTACTATACTGCCAATTATAACACTTAATTACAATTGTATAAACAGTTAGGAAATTCAGATCCAACCAAACAACGTTTCCAAAACACACACAACATAGATTTAATGGTAACAGTACTTCCAAGAATTACACGATAAATGGTAAAAAATTAATTAAATTTTACCAGAGCATAATACTGGAAAATATATTACTATAAGGATGCCCAAGCAATTAGAAATTGAAAAATGTACTCGTTTCAATACACGAGTGACATAAAAATATTTTATAAATACAAGAAAATATGATAAAAATAAATTGTTTTTGAATCAATATAATTCATTTAGAAATAATGAAAAATTTATATAATTAATCAACAGTATCTGAAATATTAATTAACAAGTCAATTTAGTTGTGTTTGGTTGCTCGTTTGAATTTCACGCAAAGCTACACGAGGGCGCTAGCCGTCCCTAATTTCTCAGCGAAAGACTAGAGGTAAGGCAGCTAGTCATCACCACCCACCGCCAACTCTTGGGGCTACTGTTTTACCAACTTATAGTGGGATTGACCGTCTCATTATAACGCCACCACATTATAAAGGGCGAGCACGTTTGGTGGGGCGGGGATTCAAACCCGCGACCCTCAGATTGCGAGTCGAGCGCCCTCTGGTGACTTATCAAATGTATATTGAACAATTAGATATAGGAAGTTTGATTTAGTTTATTCATAAAATGGCACCAATGGAAACTTCATACTGATGACGATCATGAACCATCTTAGTGAAAATCGACAAGAAAGGAAGTTTTAAAAACCTGAAGGAGACTGATAACACTTAACGTACTTCTTTATAAATACAATACTTTTTTTTATTTCGACATAACTGATGTAAGTGAGACGTGCTTAACCAACTAAACAACCAGAGGAATATCAAATTCGATTAATGTTTTCTTTGTAAGATATCCTCCCATAAAACTATATATTTTTCAAATTAACTTTTATGTCGCTACTGCTGCTACAAAATTAATTTTTATTAAAAAAATGAATTAAAAATCACAGTGCTGCTATAGATTGTTATTTAGAATACGCACAGATTAAAAAAAAATACAGCCACAATAATGATAACAGAATTGGTGTATTTGAAAAAACAAAAACACGTACAAAACCGTTGCGCCTAATAACAATTTTCCTTCTTTTCATAAAATTCGCTGGTAACCTAAAATTTTGAAGAAAAAAAATGCATTAGAGGGTGCTGCATATATTGTTTGTTTGTTTTTGGAATTTCGCGCAAAGCTACACGAGGGCTATCTGCGCTAGCCGCCCCTAATTTAGCAGTGTAAGACTAGAGGGTGCTGCATATATAAATATAGTTAAAATGTGTAATGATTGTCACTTAACAAAGTTTAATTTAGGGTTAAGAAAAAGAAAAAATCAGGTACAAATGAATAAAACAATGGACTATGCAGCATCGTTATAGAATTTGTAGAAATGCGTAGTACATCCATTAGAGGGCGCTAGAGATATTACTTATAACAATTTTCATAAAATTCGCTGGAAACCTAGAATTTTGAGAAAATGCACTAGAGGGTGCTGTATATATAAATATCGTTACAATGTGTAATGACTGTAACTTAAAGTTTAATTCAGGGTTAAGGGGGAAAAAAGCAGGTATAAATGAGTAGAACAATGGGCTATGCAGCATCGTTAAAGAATTTGTAGAAATGCGTAGTACATCCATTAGAGGGCGTTACAGATATTACTTCTATTACTCAAGTCTCTATAACCTGTACGTTAAAATGTTTTATATATATATATATATATATATAAACACACATTTTTTATAAATGTGTATGTGTACGAAAATTATTATGACCTGAGAATATTAGACCTACTTATTTTCACGACTGGATATTTAAACAATATTTACTATTCCACTAGAATAAATAGTTTGTTGAATTCCAATTAATAAAGGCGAGAATAAAGAAACACATCTAAGAAACTTGTACACTTATTATTTGTTTACAATATATAGAAAACTTAAGTTCATAAAATCATGTGAAAATATAATAACTTAACTATGCCTAAATTTTGTAAAATAGAAGATAATGAATAAAATGAAAGAAATGATCAGTTAAGTCTGGTTGATCCAACATCATTATTAAATGGTAAACAATGAAAGAAATGATCAGTTAAGACTGGTTGATCCAACATCATTATTAAATGGTAAACAATGAAAGAAATGATCAGTTAAGACTGGTTGATCCAACATCATTATTAAATGGTAAACAATGAATTAAATGATCGGTTAAGACTGGTTGATCCAACATCATTATTAAATGGTAAACAATGAAAGAAATGATCAGTTAAGACTGGTTGATCCAACATCATTATTAAATGGTAAATAATGAATGAAATGATCAGTTAAGACTGGTTGATCCAACATCATTATTAAATGGTAAACAATGAAAGAAATGATCAGTTAAGACTGGTTGATCCAACACCATTATTAAATGATAAACAATGAATTAAATGATCAGTTAAGACTGGTTGATCCAACATCATTATTAAATGATAAACAATGAAAGAAATGATCAGTTAAGACTGGTTGATCCAACATCATTATTAAATGGTAAATAATGAATGAAATGATCAGTTAAGACTGGTTGATCCAACATCATTATTAAATGTGAAATAATGAATGATTAAGACTGATTCATCCCACTAAGTGCGCAACTGAGTGTTTTTCACGTTTGTTTGTCATGTTTCTGGTGGTAGTTTGAATTATCTTTAAAAAAGTTACTAAGACACTGATTATGATAGAAGTTTGGAAGATAATTAAAATGTTGGTAATTAAAGCTATCAGAAGAAGTAATATTACGATATCGTCCAGTTAGTTTTCTTTAGAATATTTGTTAAGAAATGAGATAGTACAAAAATAAAATGGGGAAGACAATTTTTTCCCTCTTTAAATGACAATATAGTCGTTAGTTACGCAAATAAGTTTAAATTTTCCAAAATTACATTTAAAACAGAGTTCTAAAATATGGGCACAAGTAAAAACATTCATACAGGAAAATTTTGTAGAATACATTTTGAGAATATTGGGTAGTCTTCCGAAGTAAAAAAGAATTAAGGACACGAATAAACAATTAGTAAAAATTACACTTTTGTTTTAAGAAAACTTGCAATAAGTCAGCAATCTGACATTATTTTATGACCCCGACTTAACGCTTGTGGCAGTACTTAAGAACAGAAACATGGCATTTGGAAACGTTGGTTTTTGTAAGAATAGTTTTACTGGTGAGGCACCATAAAATTGGAAAGTGAAACTAATGGTTTCTGTATTTATATATAAAAGATTTGATTTATACAAGAAACGCATTTGTTTCAAAGTTTGTTCCTTTGTACGTGACTAACTGTTAGAACAAAGATGACGTGCTAAATTTAACACTGACTCGGGTAAAGATAATACTATGTACACA